AGTGAGCATGCCCAACACATTACAGCTGCACTGTAAAAACACCTGTGATGGGTACTGTCAGTGATTTAGGAAGCTGGTGAATGGTAGTGACTGACCCTAATGCTGGTTTTAGTTTTGTTTTCTAACAGCCAGCTCTGCTTTACCTTACCTTAGGGGTTTGGCCACTCGGTTGCGCCCATAACCCCATGGCAGCAAGGGGACATGGATCTTGGGGTGAAGGCCAAGCTAAGGGCACCTTCCTGCTCTCCTTGCTCACTGGTAATGAGCCTAGTTTCTCTTTGAGTGCATGTGAAATATTGATAGCTATGTGGCTGGTAACTGCCCTCGCTTTCAATGCCCCAGCCCTGCGAGGCTGGAGCACAACAAAGCAAGGCAAAAGAGATGGAACTGAGCAGCGGAGGCTGCTTTTTCTGGCCTTTAGGCTTTGTCCTGCGCCGTGAAGAGTCATTGTCAGTCCACACTGAAGGTTAACAGTGGTCTTTCAGTGCAACAGACTGTTTGTATAGTTCTGATGCAGAGTTCTCTGAGCCTGCACAGTTAAGCCAGCTAGTAATGATACAGCCAAGAGGTTACATAGTACCAGAGAAGAAAGCGTATTAGTTACCCACCAGTGGTTAGGTTAGATGTTTCTTCCTGCCCAACCAGGCTCCTGTTAGGCACCACCTGATGCCTGGCTTGTGATGAATCTCCTCTTGGCACCTGTGTGCTTCCACTTAAACTGCATTCAGTAATCAGTGAGGTCTGAGCTGCAGTCGTGAGTCTTTACCTAGAAGATTATCTCTGGAAAGGAGACTCAGACCTCAAACGCACCTCTTGAAGCAGCAAGACGAACAGGAATCTAAGGTAAGACTTGGTACTGTATATCTCTTATGTATGTGATCAGTCAACACTTCGGCTGAAGTATGTCGAGGTTATTTGTAACACAGAGTTCAAGCTAGGGTCCTCAAGGAGGTGACAAACACTTCAAACCTTGAACAGCCACTGTGCTCCTGCTGTTGCTGACTGCTGGATGGTAAAGGGGTTGATTTTTTCCTTTCAGCTGACTAGTTGTAAAAAATGCTAGAAGGTAGCTGTCTGTAGCCGTGGACCTGTGAGCTTGGCAGGAGGTTTGTTCTTTGTGGTTAAGCACTGATTGCGTTGGCTGTCCTGGAGCTGGGTCTCCTGGATCTCTCTGTTTCTAAGTTTGACACTACTGTGTTTGACCAAGTTTTACTACTGGCTTGTGGGCTCTTAATGCTGTCGGCAGCAGCTGAAATCTGTTCTGTGTAGAGATGGGCCTCACGCTGCCCTTGTAGTCATTTCCTAGTTATATTTGGTTGTTGTTGGTTAAATGTGATTTTTTTAAACAGGTTTTCCTGTTCCCCTTAATAATAATATGGTAAAAAAAGAATAATATGCATATCTGAGTTTGGTTTAAGGGTACCGTTGAGCTGGATTGCCTACTTTCGACCTTTGAATTCTTCTTGTGGTTAGAGGAATACCAGAACAGCTTACCACTACACGCTTTCATATCAATCTCATGTCCATGTTCCTCAAATCAAAAATCCCATCTAGAAGAGCAGCAGGTGTCAACCTCTGTTTTTACTCTGTTGTGGTTTGTGAGGGAAATGAGGCCTAATCTTTCTTGCCCCTCGTGGATAGATGATGCCTGTTTGTTAGGGCCTAGACAAAATTTCTAGACTTAACAGTTACAGGTCTGAAATTGTTCAGCATGAAATACTTGTTGTCTGTTGTGCAAACTGAAGTCCTGCAGTGCTAAGTCAAAAACAGCTCAGTAACAACATTGTTAACTTCTCGTTAATTACTAATTGTTTGTCTGTTATATGGATACTAGCCACGGGCTATAGGTTGGCAATTAGGTTCCCCCTTGCAAAGCAGCCTGCAAAAACATGCTCCTTGCTCTCTGAGAACAGCTTCCTGTGTGTACACCCACCCAGAGCACTAACAGTGTCAGTGAAGAGGTAGGTAGTCTGGTTGTTGTAAATGTGCTATGAAACGGACATTAGCTTGGCAAACACACAACTTTGCCACTGTTGTTTTGTCCCTATGGGTTGCTTGTCACCTCCTTGCTAAAAGATGGTAGTCAAAATGAAAGTGGAGGCTCAGTTGGAAGTGTTTGTCCAAAAAGAATTTCAACCAAAAATGTTGGAGTTTAGTTTAAGAATGTCTCCCACTGGAAAGGGTCCGCTTCAGTTTCCCATTTCACTTGAAAATTAAATGATTATTTGAATGCATCAGTTTTGTTGCTCAAATGTTACCAAGCTGGAGAGGAAACACCGTTATTAATGCAGTATTATTAATGCAGTAGCCTACATCTGACCTTCCTGCTTTTCGTACTGATGAGGGTGGATGACACCTAAAGTGTGGGTGTACTCAGAGAGTGTGGGTATTTCTTGATATCTCTGTTCTATTTCTGGCAAGTGCTGCCACACTGATAGGGCAAACTGCCTAGATAGGGCTTGGTAACTACTTACTGGCCAAATTCTTCACTGTAAAGCTGAGGAATCATAAGAAAACATTGTTGCTGCTTTTTCATTTCCTGAACAGTCTGGAGTTAGCATGTGGGACCCAAATGCTATGAAACTGGGTAGATTTTGAAATATCCGTAGCCTTTTGCACTTAAACCAGTATTTACTTAACAGAAGAGGAGATAGGTAGAAAGGAAACCAGTTTCCTGAGTTTAACATTAAAAGTATGAAATGATTTGATGGGGTAGAAACAGCAGTCACCATTCCACTAGCTGTCTATCAGTGATGTAGACCATGTGGTAGATGTATCTGTAACAGGATTTCAGGGGTAACCAGGACTAGGTACTGCAGTGCCTTGTGTGAGGCTGGCTGGGCCCCCAGAGAAGTGAGGAGTCTCAGCAAAATCCGTGTGTCACGTGTAATTAGAGGAGATGCATCTCATTTATTTATTTTTCTCTTTAATTAAGATAATTTGCAAAATATCTACCTAAATTTATTTAAGTATTTGTTGGTTTATTACAGTTCTCTTAGTAAAATAGTGAGTGTTCAAGAAGCAAATATATTAAATCTCTCATACTTTAGGTTTCCTCTCTACATAAAAAGCGATGTTGTAGCTGTCTCTGACAGCTGCCATTTACAGTGCGGTGGCCTGGTTGAAGTCTACTGTGGACCATCTTTCTGTCACCGTTCAATTAGGATGTGGTCACAGAAACCTGTTAACATCTTCAGCCTAAATGAGCGCTACTGTTCACATCACCTCATGCCTTAAATGCCATTCAAGTTCCTGCAGTTCCTCTGAGCCCCTGCTAATGCAAGGTACTAAGACCCCTTCAGCGCTCATGCAGATGTGCTGCATAATAACTTGAAGAAGTGTGGGAAGGGTAAGCGTGTCTGTGCAAAGGACTGCAGGGAACTAAAGAAAAAGGGCCTGCAGCAACTTTCATTCCATTAGTGAAGCAAGAAATTAGAATAAGGTACAGCAAGTGCCTCTGACCTTCATTCTGTTTCATTTAAGGAATAATTGCATTGACCATTATGGCTTTTTCTTCTGTCTACATTTCTCTGTCTTTCCTGCTGTGTCTTAGCTAACAGTTCCTGCCTGCTCTGTGCCTTTTGGGTAGCAATTTGATTCATTTTCACTGACTTAGTTCAGTTTTAAGACCTGAAACCCTGGCAAACAAGGTCATTTTGCCCCCAGAAATAGTGTGCTCTGCTTAGATCAAATCACTGAATTTTATTTTTTTTAACCATCTAGAAGTACTGAAAAGTGGCAGAAGGTATCTATCAATCTCTTGGTAAGTACAGTGGCAGTTGGAAACGTTCTTAAATATTAAACTGGAAAGACTGATAGAGCTGAAATCTGTGAAATACAGTGAACCTGTACAGTGCGACTTCTCTGAAGAGGGTTTGTTGAACAACAAGCACGTTAAAAGTGCCTGGAAAGGAACTGGGACATGTCTGTGCCAGCAATCCCGGAGGTGCAGAGGCTGTAGCTGGCGGTTAGAAAAGCCTGTGGGAAGAAAAGGATCAGCCAAGTGGGCAGAGGAGTTGAAAGGAGAATGCATCGATGGCACGGGTATGCAGATTGTGTGAAGAGGTGATTGGCACCTCTCTGGTGCTCAGAGGAGAGGGATCAGGACAGTGCAGTACTGCTGGAGGCTTTGCTTATTTGTTGTTTTTTCAAACATGAAAAGATCCAGGGAGGTGTCAGGGAAACTATCCAACCAAGGCAACAGCAAGCCTTGGGTTCATCATCTGCGGATTTTGCTGCCCCAGAATCCAGTGCAAAGCAGAGCCATGGGGAGTGCCCTGTGTTTTCTTATACTGATGTGTCTCAGTCCTTCAAGTGCTCTTCTCTAGCTGGACTTATTGTTTTTCATATTTTCATCAGTGACTGATAAAGAACGGTGGAGAGTTCCTCACCTTTCTCCCTGGTTACCTGCGTGCTGTAAGGGGAACTTGAAAGAGGGCTGTTAAAAGGAACTTAAGAGAGCTTCTTTCTTGCTTTGTACAGCTAAGACCCTGCGACATCAAAGCTACCTGCTTTCTGAGTGTGCTTTCCACCCCGCTGTCAAAAATGCTTGCATGGCCTGTGCAGCGAGAAGAGGGGATCCATGGCAGAGAACATTGCTGCTGTGGCTATGAGGGTGGCTCCCAGGCTGGCTGGAGATGGTCCTCCATCCTGGAGAAACAGCACTTGCTTCCTTGATCTTTTTACTTTAGTGCAGTTAAGTTCTGGGCAGAATTTTCCTCCCAGATTCGCAAAGCTTTGCAACACTGTGTGCTGAGGGTAGGAAGAACCGTGGTAAGAAATGCAAGTCCTAGTCTCTCTGAAGACGGTTTTTGCAGACAGCATAGGCCAGGAGGTGCTGGGATGGGGCAGGAGGAAGGAAGAGGACTGCTTATTTCCTGACTGGTAATTTTATAAGACAGCATTACGGGTTGCCCTTAGTCAGCTGAAGCAGACCTTGTGTGGTGTTTGTTTTCAGTAATAGAGTATTTTTAAAGTCTGAGGACTGGGGCTTCTTTTCATCAAAGCTTTTTGAGATAAGACCCTGGCACAAAGCCTCTCTGCCCATTCCTTTCTGCTGTCCACCAGCCATCCTCATTTTCTTCAATGACAACTACAATGTCTCCTTCACTGATGTCCAGTTCATCCGTGTTCTGAAAGGAGACAGGGAAAGGAAATACGGTTAGCCTGAGAGCACAGGAGGGCCCAAGCATGTTTCTGGTGGGTTGTTTTTTGGTTTTTTTTTACCCTGCCTTTCATCAACAGTCTGCTGGTGTCTTTCTGGTTGGGAAAGAGCCTGAAATACCAGGCAGTGAGGGATTAAGCAGTTACTGAGTTGGCTATTTCCTTAAGATCCTCAAATTTTCCCAGCTTCCATGGTGTCTCCTCCCAAGCAACTTGACTGTTGTATCATTGGGGAAGGCTGGAAGGGGTTAAATACAACTGTCCTAAACCAGCTAACCATGACCCTCCCGTAGTCTGCAGGTATTGCTACATAAGAGTGCACAGCTTAATTCCCAAGGGAGATAAAAACAGTGGCTCTACTAATCCAGGCCTTAAATAGATCTCTCGGGTCTCTTAATCCAGAACAGCAGTTACCAGTGGAGTTACAGCGACTCTTCCTGAGATGGGTAACTTTTATCTCCAAGACAAATGGAGTAGTCGCAAGGAAGCTATCACTGAGCTCTCAGGCAGCTATCAGTCTGTTCACTAGTGCTGTCCTATTTTCCATAGGAAACCACTTTGCTACCCGCAGTGTAGTAACATAGAAAACAGGGTAAGAGAGCCTTCCAGATAATGTTTGATGCGTCAGCTAAATCTAAATTTAATGTACCTGAGTAGGTAAGAACGGACTTGAAAAGTGAGAGGCCTCGATATATAATATACTGAAAGTAGTAACAGGCTCTTTTCTCAGCAGGGAAAATCTGTGCGTGTCCTATTTTTAAGGCAACTCCTGGAGTAAGGATCTGACAAAGAGATCCAGCAGTCTCCTCAGGGGAACTGCCATTAACAGTGAGGTACTTTGAGCTGTGCTTGGATGAAATTTCAGGCAAATAATAAGAGAGGATTTAAAACAAAGCAAAACAAAGAACACATAATAAAAGGTGTCAGAACACTGCTGTACATAAGAGGAAGCGTTCCTTTCCAGCCCTTTCTGTGTTTTCATAATTTGTCTGGCTATCTGATTTTGTCACATTCCAGCATTTCTTCAATGGTGGCTATTGCTGGCAGGTCCCTTGGTGTGAGGGTCTCTGCACCGTAGTATAAGACCTCTTGGATGCTGCTCCTTCTGCTAATCTAAAGCTAACAAAAGAAACTTTTAAACTGACATGTAATTAAATTGTGACAGTCCCATTAGGGGAGGCTTAATGGTTTAGCAAGAGTCCAAGAGGTTCTGGAGTCCATCTGAATAAGAAAATATTCATAACCAGTGCATTCATAAACTTTACTAACAGTACCGTGCCTGGATAGATCTGAAGCCAGTGAGAGTTCAGTGTGCCAGTTTGCAGGCTGCTCTTTACAACAGTCTTTTGGTATGTGGACCAAGTCCACTGCGATTCTGCAACTTACAACATGGAAGTACAGGGAAACAGCGTCATTTATGGGGATTCAGTCCTTTCCAGCATGAAGAGCACCTCAGTTGAAGCCAGTGTGTTAAACTGGAGCAGGACTCTCCAGATGATGAGATTAAATGGAGAAGAGTTCCTGGATAAGCATGTGTCACGTATTTTTTACACAAGGTATCTGTAGCCATTTTCCCTAGGAGAACATTTCACAAGAGTTGTAAGTTCAGAATGCACAATACTGCATACTTAGCCAACATCCTCTAAAAAAATAAAGTTTTCCATGTGTTTGCGGTCTCTTGTATCTCTGGAAGGAGGTTGTAACAGCTCAGCATTAATTTAGGGTGTGTAATCACTCGCAAAAAATGTTACTGTTTTATCTTGAGGCAGCATGGGCTAGTGATGTGCGCCAAGAACTGACAGTTGGGATTCCTGGCTTCTGCATGTGACCTTGACCAGTAATTCTCTAAGTGTCCCTGGCTGTAAAGTGAAGGTAACACCTCCTTCACAGAATTAACACTTTCAAGATGTTTGGATCGACATTATCTATTTTAAATCTGACACTATGAAATATTTAGTTTGAAGCCTTTTGTTACCTGGGCTGTGTAGTCATAAAGTACTCTGTAGTCCTGCGATGATGTGATTCCAGCTTGTTCATTTGCAAAAATGGATGCATAGACTCCGTCTGTTTTCTCTTCTAGGGGAAGAAAAAAAAAACCCACAACCAAACCACACACAGAAACAAAGAGTTCAGTTGCTTATAAATGCATGGGATCATATGCAAGAGTTCACAAATACAAGGGTTTCTGTTCCTTCTCTGTCTGGAGATGTACATGTATAGAAAAGCTGCTCTGAACTGTAGGTAAAGTCTTGCACAAAAACTGTGTCCCATTGATTAGATGACAATGCACCCATTGAACTTTGTGGGAAGTCAGGAACTAGCTTTAGCCCCATCTGGGTTGGGAAAAATGTTTACCCTGCTAAAGCACAATCCAAATGATCCAAAGAGGGAAATGCTGTGATTAAACTGGTTTAAAATGGTTGCTACTGGTGGTATAAAATTCTAGCAGTTCAGTGACTCACATAGGGCTTTTCTTTTTCCCTTGAGCAAAATGGAAAATACTGTGCCGATGGGTCACCAGACATTTTCCAGTAATTTACATAGTTCCCAGCTAGCTATTTCTCACTGACATAACTTTTTTGGAAGATGTTGTTTTAATCCAGCTTGTCATAATTAGGGAAACCTCTTATTCCTTCCCACCATCTGCCTGGGAGCTTCCCCTGCCTTTGAGGTGGGTAGAGGTTTCCCGTATATGACTCCTCGGTGGGATGATGCGCTCTGACAGCACACGGAGCAGCCGAGGTGCCTGTACCTTCCCACAGTCAATCCTTGCTTCAGCTGTCCCGCTGTAAGGAGCGCTGTTGGCTCCTTGGCTTTTCAGATTTTGAAAGACAGGCATGGGAGCAGTTGAAAAAGCTGAACACAGACTGCGTTTGCTATTCCTGGGGGTCTTGTCTGGGAAACACTCTCCCCTCCTGTCCCAAACCTAAGGAAATTCAGAAGGAGCGACTGCCCTCAACTGCTCAATGCTGCATTGCTCTCCCTGTGCTCAAGCTGGTGCCTGGCAGGTCCAGCTGGTGTTTGATAGCACTGGAGAGTCTCCCCTGGCTGAGCACCAAATGCAACAAGTAAGATAGTCTGGGCTGTGTTTCTGGGTGCCCAAGCAGGCAGGCCTGACAAAGAAAATTAATTTCTGTGTATTTTAAAGCTGTTCTAAATCAGCTTTTTGTTTTCTTTAGGCAAGAATCACAGATAAAATGTTTTTGTTTTAAATCAAACCAATAAAAATGTCATAAGCTGTTACTTTCTGCATCGTCAAAATATACTGTGTTTTAAATGTCATCTGGTAAATGCCTAGTTGCAAGGGTTACGATAAGACAATGTAACTGTGAAACGAGATGGATATTTGCATTCATAAGGCATGAATCTGGTCTGTTAAAAACTTCAGGTATTCTCCTGGGCTTTTTAGAGGTAGTCTATTCTACCGTAGGAGAAAACTATTATTTAAGTCAGATTGTGGTGTTCTCAATGTACAGTTCCCCCTTGCCTCGACAGAGGTTTTGAAGATTATATGGATTATTTGGCACTTTAAACTGGGAAAATTGTTTAATACACATCCAAGCTAAATTCGTTTCCAGACTACTCCTACTCTTGACTGCCAACATGTGAGTATCTGCTGTACCATTTCTGCTCCATGTCAAAGCTTGATTTAGCAATATGATCTAAAACAAACACATCTGGTAAACTTAGTTCCTGAAGAGGCATACCAAGAGGAGGGGCTGAAGGAGTGGCGCTTTCCGTGTTGTTTTTGCTGCTTCCATGCAGTAGTCCGGAGAATCTGCAGAACCAAGAGAAGCCAATGAGAAAATGAGTGAACAGGACTGGATATGAGCATTCCTTCGTCTCAGCAGCCTGACTCAACCTTCCCTCCATCTGCTACAGCACTGGGTAGATGTCACCTCTTCCTGTGGCCGCCTATTTTCATTTATGCTGTAGATATATTTATCTTCAGTTAAAAATATATTTTAAAAAATGCAGCAGAATACTGAACCATCAGCCATCACTAAATTGTGCATAAAATGCATCAGATGGTATTTTGTTGTTGATCCAAAGGCTCATGGTGCAAAACTCCAATTATTTCACAACATTAATATGATAAGAATTATCAGTTGTTTATTAGAGATTACCATCTTTTTGTCTTTAAGGAAAACTCTGATACAATTTAAAATACAAAGCTTGTATAACGAGCCTTTCTAAAAACTGTGAGTTTAAGTGAACTTTTTTTTAATCTATCCCTAGTTATTTTCTGTATCACAGCTGGGTACCAGAGACCAAGTAAAGGGAGAAAATGGGTTAGGATTTTCAAGCATAGATAGAAATAGCATTGTATGCCTAAGGCATATTTAAAGGTCTGATTTTTCAGCTGGCAAACACTCAATGTTTCTGGAAAATGGACATCCAAACTCAACAGTTTCTGAAAAATTCAGACAGAGTGTCTCTAGGCTGCTTGCCCATGCAGAGCACGGTTGTATTCTAAATGGCAGTACGCTTGTCTTCTGTAACTGTATAGGATGTAGCATTAGAATTCATTATTATAAAAGATCTGGTTTCCAACTGAAAAACAAAGTATCGTATAAAAACCTTTTCAGCTCACTAACAAGCCTGGACCACATTTTAAGTGGGAGATCGCAGCCTGTTCCTTGTCTTTGTCCTGTAATAAGGTATATCAGAATGTAAAGCTCTTCTGCTTTAAATATAATGCCATAAATTAGCCATTTTAATATAAAATATTTAAATGAATAGATCTACTGGGCTCTTCTGCTGATATAACTGCATCCATGTTGCAGCATTTACCAGCATAAATGGATCTGCAAAAGAAAAATTGCCTCCCTGATCATTACAGTTATTCCGCAAGTGTTTTTTCCTTTGGTCTAGATACAGAGAGCGGCTCTTTGTTCTGCTCAGCTGGGCGGTGCAGTAAGCCAGGAGGTATTGCCGAAAAAGACAGCTCTCCCCAGCCTTTGCTCCCAGCAAGATTCACCTTTGCCCTCCCTTGAACAAAGTGGTTTTGTTGCTGGTGCCATGACTCACCAAGAAAGAGGAAACAAGTGAATGCTATATGTTGCTGGCCAACTAATAGTTTTATGAACTCATCCCCTGTCTCTCTTCCCACTAGGCCGTGGCAAAATTACCCTGACTTTGGTTTTTAATAGGTTTACTTCTTCTGTCAAGTTATATTTATTGATACGTAGCTGCCTCTTGCTACAATGAAGGAAGTAATAGCTTTCTGGGTCCTGTTTCCTGTCATCATACATTGCCATTCATACAGAGAAATACCTATTCTGGCAACCCCACTTTGCCACTCACCTCTTCATCATCCCACAAGACTGGGTTGGGCTGTTGTTGCCTCTGCTTGGTTCTCTGCTGTAGTAGTTCTCATATCCTATTGCAGCTGTAGCAGAGCAATAAAAGTGAGGTTTTCAAACAGGCAAAACTTTTTTTTCTGCCTATCAGAATGCAGCCGACAGTCACAACCACCAGGGGCTGCTCGGGGGGGACCTTGGGGGCTTGACAAAAGCCATTCAAGTGATTGTAAGCAGACACGTCCTTGGTAGAAAGGCATGCTTGACCTGAGATGAGCACAGCCAAGGTCCTGAAGAACCATTCTAATAGCTGTGGCTAACCCTAATTAAGAAGGCAGTTTCCTCCATGACTGCTTCCTCTGTTGCCTTAAAGCTCAGGATTTAAGGGAGCAGAGCATGGTCACTGTGGGCCTGGGACCGTGTTCTTGATACAGTTGCCTGCAGTGTGTTTTGTTTCTCTTAATGTATTGAGTCAGGAATTTTTGTGTAGCTGGGGAGATTTCTGAACATTATTGCCAAGAGCAATAATGAGCAATTTCCTGGTCTGTTCTTGTGCTTGAGTGTCTCCCTACCTTTCACATCTCCCCCATCCACCTCCTGAGAGCTGATTTGCTCTTTACCCAGAGATATTTGGGGTTTGTTCTCTCAAACGCAGTTAAGTTGCAGTTCCTTGCAGTTCAGTTGCAGTTCCTTCGCTCTCCCCTATGGTGTCCTTAAGGGTGAAATTGAGACCATTCCCAAGTCTAGCTTTACAGGTGAAATAATTACAGATGGATTTATTTCTTTTTCATCTCGTAGATCCCCATGTAGTTGCTTAGAGCTGCTGGCCACAAACCCTTTCTGCCTTCTTTGTGTTAAAGCCAAATAAACATGAGTGAAGTCTGCGATACTGTATTATCTCAGCTCTGATACCAGCAAATTAAGACAGACATTGGACTTGCGCTAAAGATTGTGTTGACATTCTCGCATCGGGTCAGCCAAGATCATAAGCAGAGCAGGCATGGACAACTAGTGAGTGTGAAGAATCCTTACAAATAAGGATTAGGGACTTTTCTGACCAATTTAAGGGTCTCCTATTACCTTTCTAGATTGTCACCTTGGTATAGTTTCTAGTCTGTAATGCATTGTAAGATTAGGTAGAAGAGGGGAGTGAGCCATAGCATCGAGAAACCAGAAGGCTTGGTCAGGATGAATGTCTCCTGCTACACAATGCAAAACCACATGTGGGTTTCCTCCCGCATTGTGCCACTAATAAAACAGATAAACAGCTCACCGTGTGGTACTGTGCAAACTCATTAGCCAGAGCTGTGGAGATACTAGGACGTTACTTCCACAACATGTCACCTTCTAGAAGGTGGCAAAAAAAACCCAACAAAAAAGCAAGTCGGTGGTTTCTTTGCCTTTCATAAAGCTCTCAAGGGTTTTCCCACCTCTTTCTTATTAGAAATGAGTCCTGACATAGCCAAGAGCTGTTTGCAGAAAATTGCCTAGGCAACTGGAGAATGAGAAATCTCACATAGAGGGGGAAAAAACCCCACAAAACAACCTAGCTGGGAATTAGAAATTTCTGAGTATACAGAAGTTGTTTCACACTGTTGCAAGGCACAGTTCTCCCTTCTGCCAGTGATAACGTAGTTTTTCTTTGGTAAATGCTCCTATATCAGTGTATTTAAATTCCCTATGTGAAGAAGAATAAACTGTAGCAGCAAAATGTCATCCAGTGCACCACTATCAATATATTCATTTTAAAAAAAATCCCCAAATCCCAATTCTTAATCATCATAGGTGTAATGACAGAAAGGCTGCGTGAAAAACAGGCCCCAGGTAGCTCGGCGCTGATTTAGCGGCAGCATCCAGCTCTGTGGAAGAAGTTTCTAGAGTGTCATTGCTGCCAGCTCTGAGCTCTGCGATGAAATCAAAGGGGTGTAAGCTGTTCCTGTATGAGGTAATTATCCCTTGGGACAGAGCGTTCATGCTGCTGATGTTTGCACCTATATGACTCCTAGTGTGGAAGGTTTTTATCGGTATAAAATTTTCTTAGGCCAGTATAGCTTATTCCCCACTCTGAATGGAAGTAAGCTCTAATGATACTGCTGAGGACATAGTAAGGGGATTTTCTCTTTGATGTAGCAGTATGGTGTTAGAGCAGATAGTGAAACAATATCTGTGCACAGATGTAAAAAAAAAAAAATGGAGGAAAAGATCATAGGTATGTATCATCAGCTAATGAAGAGATGAAATAGGGATTTTTCTCTCTTTGTTTACTGCAGCAGCAGCACAGAAGTGCAAGCATTCACTCAGCCTATACATTTCTTGTATTGCTTGTTGAAGTAAGAGGGTGTGGTTTGTATTTGGCCACGTGGAACATTAGATAGCCGCCTTTCTGGTGATGCGTTTGGCGAACTCCTACCCTGGAGCAGTATGTTTCCATTTTACAACTGCTCTTAGCTCTTGCTGGCCCGGTCTTTGTTTCCGCCCAGAGGTTTTGATCATTGAAGTCGACGAAAAGGCTGCTTTGGCTTGTAAGGACAGAGTCTGTGAACCTTACATTGCTTTTGTATGCTGGAGCAAAGCCAATTTCATTCAAAATTTCCCCCAACTGGGGTCTTGCCCTTATACAAACAACTTCCTGAGAGGAAAAAAAGATGTTATTCCCCATTGGGCAGGTGGAACAAAACAGAATGCAAAGTGCGGCCCTTTCTGTGCTGCAAATGAAGAGGCAGCATCTCTGGCAAGGGGACACCAGGGTGCAGTTACACGTTAAGTTTGCTCTGATTTGTCACCACTGCAGGAAATTGAGGTTGCCATCTCTGCAAGGCAGTTTCCCACCTCCTTAGTGGTGTCAGTTCAGCTGACTGTGAAACGAGCCCGGTTGAAAAGCCAAAACAATTTTTTTTTTTTCCCCTCTTTCGGAGGGTTATTTTTAACCTGGATCATTCAGCTATCCCACTCAGAGCCGCCCAAGGAGCGATGGCAGCGCAGTGAGGGGGAAGTGAGCTGCAGCAGGTGGGAATGAATAGCCGGAGCAGAAACTCCTCCGGCGGGTTTCTCCTCCAAAGGACATGTACTGCACAACTGCAGCCTCAGCCTAATGGGTGACTCATCTGACAAGACCAAGAGGAATAATTAATTACCTGGAGGTTGTGTTCCTGTCATTCTAGTCTTAATGAAGTAGTCTATGTCTGACTCTACAACGCAGTTCTCCAAGCTTACCCGAACCTCTTCATACAGCTACAAAACAGAATCCAAGAATTTAATTTAATTTTTAACATTCCACATTGAATTAACAATTAATACTTTTCCCCTTAAGAGACACTTTATACTTGATACATGTCTAACCTGAATGGATCATTGGCGTGTCTCCTGTACGGACATTCTTGTAAACACAATTGTTTATTTGTGCTTTGGATAATCTTTTAAGAGAGGATGAAGGCAGTCCAGGACTTTTCAATGTAATAAAGTAATTAATAGCAGGAAAGAAAGAACCATTCAAAGTCAGAACTAGTGTATTCTTTATGTCTTTCAGTTTTGACACCATGACTGGATGCCTTTCTGAAAGTTGTGCTTGAGCCCAAATGTACTTGGTTGAGCATTCTGGTAGCTGGAAGCATTCCCCAACAAACTGAGGAGAGGGGACATGTAAGCATCACCAACTGTGACACAGATGCTCCACATCCAGGCATATATCTGGTTTACATCTTGAGGGAACAAGCTAGATTGAGAATCCTCCCCCTTCCCTGAACATGCACAACAGCTGGTTTGCTGGAGACAGTCAGCACGCGCAGAGAAGGGAAGCTAGTGCTGTATGGTTAGATCACTCTTGCTACTCCCCTTCCTCCTCTGCCCATGAAGCTACTTGGCAGGTGCCCCTACCTCATCATCCTTCACACACTGCATGGAGAGCTGGTTGCAGTGAACCCACAGTGAGTTGCGGAGGATGGTGATGCGGTCGCACTCCTGAAGCTGGAAGACCTAAAGCCAAAGAGGAGATATGACGTAGTATCACGGTAGTTAGTTATTTGCATTGCAGGCAGCGACAGGGCTGGGGCTCCTCTGGGTCAAGTTCGTACGTCTGCAAACCATTCTGAAGGATCTGTTTTAAAGGATGTCTTATCGGCTACTGATTTAATTGGTTGCACAAATTAAAGTTATGTTTTGTAAGCAAAAGTAAAGCAGGGGAAAGGAGTCGGTATCAGGATTTGACTGCCACCTCTACTGCCAAGGATTTCAGAGTCAGGGTCCTGCCGGCCCATCGCACTGAAATCTTGATGTTTAACAGATCAGTAGGGTACTGGCATGAAAGGGTTTTGTTTATGTTAGAGGTAAAGCCAAAAATATCCATCTGTGACTTCTAAAATCTCTTTCCAAACTTTTCTCTTTTGAAAATATTTGAGGGTCTCTGGAGTGGCCTCTCTTCATTTCTAAGGTTATTTTCATAGTAAAGAGAAGGCATTTTTCTTTCTTCAGAGTTTATTCCCTTCATCTGTCTGATTTTCTCATGTTGTTGCACAGCTTGGGAAGAATGAAGGGGGAAAAGAGAGGAGAAGTGTGAACTGAGTTGGGGGAAGAGGCAGATAAACTCTTTCTTTAAAAACTTTAAGAAAAAACCCAAAACACCCTGATCTCTAAGTTGTTCTGTTCTAAGTAGAACATCAATTTTTGGTTTTCTGTTAGGTGTGAAAAGCTCAGATGCTTCCAGCCATCTGTTTCTATCTCCATTTGCTAGTAATTATGTCCAAAACACCACAAATGTATACAATATTCAGCAGAACATTCAGTTGGGTACGCTGCCTGCCATCTAATATCTTACCATCTAAAAAAAGAAAAACAGAAAAGAAAAAAAGAGTCTGTCAAGGGAGTCAGCTGGCATGGGGACCAGTTTGTGAGAGAAAAAGCTTTTAAAGAGAACCTAAAGGGTGGAGGATGAGTATTTCAATATCCATTCCGAACAAAAAGCCTGTGGCTGCAGCCTAGCGCCCCTGGGGCTGCTGAAATAGCACAGGAGCCGACTGGGAACTTTCCAGGTAAATGGTGTCCTGTTGGGAAATGCGGCTCATCGAAGAGGGACGTGTAGTGACTCTGGACTTGTCAAGCCCTTTGCAAAGTACAGCTGGGCATTGTGTCGGACACATCCCTCGTGCCCCCTCGGCTTGTGCGACAGACTGCTAGTGAACCTGGGCATCTCATGCCAAGGAATATGACACAGCCCTCATGACAAAGGTTGTCTCAGTGCTGCCACTTGCTAGCCGAGGTTTTTGGGCTATGGATGTCCAGCACTCAGCTAAAGACCTAAGTGACCTCAGCACTTCCAGATTTCCTGCTGTGCAGCCAGAAGTTTGGGATCCTAAGCTGCTTTTGTACTAATTACTAGTTTTAAATGCCTTTAAAAATGCCTCAGTTCTTCTATCTACAAGCACTTTTAAAAGAAGGTGTTAAAGATGCCCCTCCTTTAGGAATGGTTGGTTGAATTAAGCAGTGGGGAGGCCACAAGCTCTATGGGCTATTCACATTTTAGCCAGGTGGGAGAAACAAAGTGTTTGAGAAGGGGAAAAATGTGCATCTTGGGAAAATTAAGTCACAATTTCTATGGAAAGTCTGCTGTGCTAGCCGTGGGGCTTTCCAGTCCTCCCAGATAGGGAATACTTAAGAGGAAGCAGAGAACTGGAAAGTTATGCTCCTGGCATTTTATTTTATGTGGAAATAAAGCCTGCAACAAGTAAACAGCAAAATCGTACTTTAGCAGATGGGCAAATGTATTCGAAGGATTACTATGACCAAATGTGTGGCTGATTTGGATGTCAACCAGTTCCTGTAAATTGTTGTGCAAAACTTACTAACCAAGTGCAAATCTCCTTGTCCATCCTCAGCGTAATGGAAATAGAGACTTTTCCATCACCACCTTTTTTAGCTTAGCCAGAAAATTTTAATCTCCATTGAACCTGTGAGATTAAAAAAAAAACCCAAAACAAAACCAAAAAAAGCCCCCGAAACCCCGCCAAACACAAAAACCTCTCCTGCATTAGAACAAGAAGCCATTCTGGAAGCCTCCTGGAAAACATAATCTAAAGGGAATCTTTTGTTTGTTCATTTTTAATGGATTAATTGAATTCTTCTTGGTTCAATATTGAAATTCATTTTTAAACTGAAAATGAATTTTCACGTCTACATTTCTCTTCATTTTCTACTGAAATTACATTTTGTCACGAAGCAATTATTTGAGAAACAACCTTATCTTGGCTGTGATAGAAGATCATCCCTAAAGCTAGTGTATTCTTATGTTAAGCTGTGGGTGAAAACTGGCAACAAATGCTTGCAAATAGATGGTAACAGTTCATATATTGCTCCACTTCTCGCACCTCTGCACTTATTCCCCTCCTTTACATTTACATACATATGCTGAACAAGCAAGAAGAGTGTAAGCAAGTGAGACAGCTGGCAGCTATGTCTAAATCAACTCTAGTTTTTGCAGTATTTTTGCAAAGACATCTACTGAGACTCCGTATAAAGCAAACAGCAAAACCCTTAGGATAATATCTCAGGTCTTAGACTGATATCTGCAAGTAGGATAAAATAAAGAGCGCACAAATATATTGCTGCAAAAGTCAATGTTTACCTCACAGGTTTTGATATGTTCCTTTTCCCACTCTGTCCTGACCTTATCCAGCTGCTCAATGTTCTGTTTATACACGTTCTCTGTAAACACAGACACACATAATAGAAACCCAACAGTTAGGAAAAAAATGATCCAGTCTTTGTCTTTTCCCTCCTATTAGGACTTTGCTGTGTGGTTCTTACACTTTAGGCCTGTGGTTTGCTAGAGTATTACAAGAATGTGTGAGCTTGAAACTGGTGGGCCACAAAGGTATTTGGGGTTTTTTTCTTTGCAGTTTTATACTAGAGCAACGCTTCTCTCTGCATGGTTTGCAGATCATCTATAAACCTTGCAGTAGGGATAATTCAAATCAGAGAGGAAGAGCCTGGACCATGCTCATGGGCACTGAGCATCCTTAGGCTCTTTACAGCCAGGTAAGCCATGGAATTTAGTGTAAACTTTTACATGACCAGTGAGGAACAAGTCTGAACTCAAGAACCAGCTCAGGTGTCTTCTGGCCTGTCCTTCTGGACATGTACTGTGTTTCTGGCTGGAGAATGCTACCGTGCTCATGTACCCTCAGAACCTGGGGTCAGTGTATCTGGTTAAGGCTGGCTGGGGGCAATGCGAGCACCATTCTTTTGGGCTTTCAAAGTTGCTTCAAGAAGAGCTTTTCTTTCCTGGGTGGAGTCCCTGAAGGAGGTCGTCTATAAATTCTTTAATGAAAGCAGGAGACTTGCATTTCCACAAAGAAAAGTAAATGTAAACGACATTCTTTACAAGCTTCCTCATTAAATTTTGGGTAGGTGACTTTGGGAAACCTGACTTCAAACAGAGCCAGCCTGGGTGATTTGGATGATGCTCTGTCAAAATCAGGGTGCTGGTAGATGTTTGCTGAGAAAAATCTTAGTTCAGTTGCAAATAGAGCATCACCTGCTTCATTTGCAGCGTCTCTGCATTGCTTGGCTTTGTTCTGACTCTGAAACAGGAAAAGAAACATCCCAAATTAATTTCTGACCATATCTTTTGCTTCTGCCACAGTTTTTTTGCTGCCTGCTCCCTTTCCCCTTCTAGGGGAAAGGCTCAAACTTGCAAACACTTCTTGGCTGTCCCACCTTTATGCATCATTCAGTTGAACGTGTGTGCTATGGAGAAGAAGGGACCAGAATTTCACCACTGGAGGCATAGGTCCACTGATTTCAAGGGAAATCTGGCAATTTAATTCAAAATAAATTCAGGCATCCCTGCCATAGGAGCTCAGTGCTAGCATGATCCGGCCTGAAGCTTGTCTGCCGTTTTTTCTCAAGTGTTTGATGTGCTTTTCTAATAGATATCTATAAGCAGTAATAAATGGCAGTTAAAATTGTTCATCTTCCAAGCTCCTCATGTAATACACAGCCTTTGAAATACTTTGCAAATGCCAGATTATTTCCCATAACAACTCGGAAGCCTAAAAGCAAAATTCACTCTAAGTACAGCTTCTCTTTTTTAAAAATCTGCAGCTTTTAACAAACGAAAATACAGCTATTATTGACAGGTCTGCTCTCCCAGGTCTTTCTGCACAGATGGTGATGACAGTACATTAATGCACAGCTCTAGACATCAGTGTAACACATTCTTCCGTTCTGCCCTTCAAGACAAGGCTCAGGTAGGGGTTCTTATGACCGTATTCCTCATCACAGCTGGTTGGAAAATGTGTAGTAAGCTGGGAACATAAGCTTCATTCTTATTTGCTACCTGGCCCAAACTGTTTGTGAGTGCTGCACAGAATTAAACGGCTGACATGTTTCTTGTGAGACGGCCGTGCGCATTTCAAATGTGCTGCCGTACGTGTGGAAGCAATGGCAATGAAGCACCCCAGGATCCTTCTGCGTGAAAGGGGCTGGGTCAGGTTCTGATGCCATTGAAGTTGCTAAGGGTTCTGGCGTAATTTCGGTAGGGCCAGGATTTCATCCCCTCTTTACAGCTAAGCTGGAGGGTTTGGCTCATCAAAGATTAGTGAATGCTGGAAATAAAATGTAAAGTTCTGATGCTGTTTTTAGAGTCGCCATCCCCCCGCTCCTTGAGATGATTTTTGATCCTTTTTGCTTACACTGCACTGATTTTTATCGAGCCAAAGGGAGTTCGTTTATTTTGTTTTCTCCATCTGTTCTGCTGTAAAATGTTCCCATTAAAAGTTAGTGAATTGTCAGCTACAAGTATCAAGACGATGCAATGAAGGACTGCAGTGCCTTAATTTCCAATGATTTATTTTTGAGTTTGTAAATTTAGTTGAAATTAAACTAACCATAAGGAGAAAAATGATGAGGAAAAATACGCATTTTAATGTAAGGTACTATGCCTACTAAATGTAAGTGACCAAAAGGCAAAACTAACTGCATGACATACTTCCGACTTGTGTCTTTTTTTTCTTTTTTTTTTTTAATGAATAATTTCGGAGAAAAATCTCATTCAGTGTCCCTTCAGGATTCATATAGCAGTTAGATCATAGCCTGGGATAAATTAATTAGATGACTCCCAGCCTTTTTAAAAACCCTTGGCCTATCACAGAACAAGATCAGGGTTACCAATGGAGTCTGTGAAGGAAGACCTCCTTGGGAAGGTACTTTGTTTTAATTTTGATTCTAAGGGGTTAATTAGAAGGGAAAGCAGTCCCTGGCATCCCGCAGAATGGGTTGTTCAATTGTGTTCTCTTGTACCTTGAACAAGAAAAAAACACAGTTTTCTCTCTAAATAGCACTGTCATCTAAGGTACCTTTTCTGTTTGCTTCTGGTTGCCTGAAGCACTTGTCCGCTCAAAGGACTGCTCAGCTTCATCCGCCTCCTTGCACTTCTGTTCGTAGGTCTTCTTTGACTGTATTGAAATGACATCAAATGTGAGGGTTTGGGTTAGGGAACAGGGCTGGATGATCTGCAGCTCGATGTTCTAGGCATTGTCTCTTTTGCAGCCTGGGGGAGCAAATCGGTGCCCAAGTTTGGGCAACAGAAAAAATTCCCAATGACACCGTAAGGAGATAGAACAATAGAACTGAAAAATTGGGGTAGGGGCTGGCAGCATAAATCGGGCCCTCTTCTTGCAACTCTGAAATTGTTTGCTTTGTACAGTTGCAGCCAGGTCCCCGCAGGGGTGATCACAAACACACAGGCAGCACTAGCACCATCAATGCATCAGGCATCTCTCCCAGCTACGGTCTAGAGACAAAATGAGGAGCCCACATTCCCAGGGTGCCAGTGGGCATGGGTTGTCATTTCCACAGCGTTGACCTGAAGCATCAGGTGGCTGCAGTCACGGTGTTGCCTTACCCCTTGCTCAAATGTTGAGACAGAGCCAGCACTGCATAGGTAACAGTCTCAATGTAGTCCTCAGAAGCAAAAGAAATCCTTATTTGCACCAAAGGACTACCCTGTCGTAGAGATTCATTTAGAACCACCATGTTTAAATAAAAGTTGCTGGTACAGTTCCAGCTGTAGCAGTGATGGGTCTGCAACTACTTTTCTTTAGAGGGAATTGCCCATTGGAAACCAAAGCCAGCTTGCTCCTGCAAGCTTTCCAGTTGGAGAGGTTTCCTCCTGTTTACAAGATTCCTTCACCGTTTTTAAAATTGTATTTACGCAGAGTGAAAAATTACATTTGCTCCTGGAAGTATCTTTGCCTAGAAAGAATGAAATTCTGTTTGACCTGAGGCATTGTTCATTCCACATTAATTTTCTGAGTATTTGTTTTGGAGACTCTTCAGTGACTGTGGCAGGGATGATTAGCTTCCTCCTAAGATTAGCTTCCTCCTCATAGGAGGAATCTCTCACACACATGCTCTTGCACTCTTACACACTCACGCATTCTTCACTTTTCTTTAAATATAGGTACATGTAATACAGATTTCACCCTGTCTCAACCTGGAGCCAGTTTGCATCAAAAAACCTGCACAAAACCCCCTTGCTTACCTCCATTGTTTTCTTATAATGAGACAACTTGCTCTTTTGCATGCGCTCCATTGCAGACTCGTACTGTAAGAAACACACAGAAGTAAGCATTTCGTGCTTTGGACTTCACACACACACACCCCCTTTTTTTAGGGACAGGATTAGGCAAGCCATTGTGAGAGCCTTTCTATGAGCCACGTGCCTGTGGGGAAAATGACTTCACTCTGCTTTTATAAATGACAGGTTTCTAAGTGACACAGAGCATCAAAATGCCAGCTAAAAAAATAATCCAAGATAATTCTGCTTCAGTGGTTTCCAATAATAGCAGAGAGGATGCAGATCTTAATTTTGTTCCTCCTTTCCCCCCCCCCCCCACCTCTGGACTTACTAAGCACC